TTAATATTAAGATATCTAAATTTAATATTTTAATGCACACATTTAAACATACATGTGAAGTAGTTATAAGAGGAATATTGTTTGTTACCCTTTCTTAATGTGACAGTTTATACTTTGCTTAACTTACCAATTATAGGGCGATGTGCGAGCATTGACCCAGGCTCCTTTTTATAAGCAAACTTTCCAGCAACAGAATACATATCACACAGATGAAATCTTCTTCTGTAAACTACAGCATTGATGTAAGTATTGTTACTACGGAAATAACCTAAACACTGTGTATAACTTACATCAGTTATAGATGTAAAGCACGATCTTGTTTCAAGTCCATGATTATAAACAATTATTAACTTTTCTTCTTGGGCGTCTATTATAAAATACATGATATAATGTAACAGATAAAACCATATAACTCTACAAGCATACATTTTTTCCAGAATCTTAAAAAACACTTGTTAATACGTTTTATTTTCAGATGTATTTGTTTATCACATTTTCTTTAAAAAGATTAATTGCTACATTCTTAAATTGAAAAAAAGATACACATGAAAAGTATAGCATGCTTATGATTCTTATCCATTCTATTCCAGGGGTATTGTTACTTTGTTAGTAATTCTGTAACGTATTGATTTTTAAATAAACTACGCAGCAGCAAATGACTATACACATTATGGGTTTAATCTGACAACAATAACGATTGATAGTAAATGTTACCTATATATTTATATTTTAAAGATATTCAGGATAATAGGCAAATATATAAAATCTTTGTTTCTAATTACGTCTTGAAAGATACATCGAATATGCATTTGAAGTAATTTGTTAAGCGCAGATACACGAATATACCCATAAATAAACTGGCAATTGTGCACTTTGTATACTATGTTGAGCGTAGGAACAATTTATAATAATTGTAAATGTTCACGTTCTGTGAAACAATTTAACAAGGCGTATCTTTAAAATATCTTCAAAAAGAAACTCGGACAAAGTAAAATTGCTTTAACTTGCATGTGTCGTTCGGTAAGCACATGATTTTGTCATTTTAGAATGTCACTTATAACTCTTTAAATTCGAATGTTACATTAAACATTCACAGGAGAATATATGATTTTTAAGCCTTGTTAATCTTTTGGAGGAAGTTCATATATTTCAAATATTAATGTTGACAAAAATTAACTGCAAGTTAGTTTCCGATACTCCTTCGGATTGTTTTATAATTTGGACGTGTACATGTATACATATGACAAAAATCCTTTAGTTTATTTTACTAATTATTGTTATTTTAAAATGACCGATGAAAGCTCCTTTATTATTGATTTCTTTCCTGTATATTTTACAGGAAGTCAAACCGACCTCAGACGGACTGTGTCCGAAAAACGCGTCCGCTTATATCCAGTATAGACCTTTTTACAATACGATATTCCCATGGGGACGAAGGTAGCTTTTTTCGCATTTGCGTAGGGCAAAACAGCAATAACGAAACAATATATTAATCAGTATTCAACAACTAGATCAAGAATTTGATATATTCTAAATAATAAACAGTTTATGTTTTTATTAATAATCGATGCAATGGTGACTTATAGTAATCAACTGGTACATTTCTGCACGGGATCTTTTATATTTGAAAGGCCCTTAAAGATGCACTCCATTCTGGCAAAAGTACCTTCGTATACAAGCATAGGAATTTATCCATCTACTAATTTTGCATCTAAGTAACGTGATTTCAAGTTATTCCACCCAGAAAAACCAATATCAATATTAATTAAATAAAACAGTACTGTTTAACAAAAGTCAGACAACATTAATATTTTTGTATACCAATTACTATCATTATCATCATTTTAGTTTAATCATATGTTATGGCAGCACATATTTGTAAAATATACAAATAATGAGTTTATATCAAGAAGCAAATACGTTAGGCAACAAGGTCTAGCAACATTAAATTAAGTGCTTACCAGAATTTAATTTTGTAAAAAAAAACAAAAAAACTTTAAGGACAAGACCCAAAACTAAGCATGTATAAAAAAACTTAAAAATATGCAACTGATCTTTACAGTTTATTTATTCATTAAGTAAATAATTTTGAGTTTAATGTGCGATCCATCCACAGGTTGCCATCCTGATCCACACTTTACCACGATTGTAAACAAAGGTGTAGTTTTGGTTTTGAGGGAATGGGCGTTTGGGAAGGTTTGACATTTAAGTACATTAAATTAGAGACAATTAACCTATATCAAAATCAAAGTCGTCTTAATAAATTTTTGAACTGATTGAAAACGTTATATTCATGCATTGTATACATGTAATTGAGTACGCATAACTATTATAATATAATAACTTTATTATTGCTTTTATTTCGTTAGTATTTCAAAGGGATAAATGTAGTTCCTGATACAGTTGGATAACTAAAGAATCCGAAAATAATATATTTTTGGCTTTATAAACAATAATCACACCGAGCCTGCAGCATTATCAATTTTGTTGTTTTGTGCGTTGTTAGGATTTCTTTTTTCTCTTTATTTTTGAAATTATCCCTTTAAGAGAGTGAACTCCAGCCGCCTTATTTGACTAAACAGTCTATTGTTTCTGACCAAGTAACACTCATAATGTATTGTAATTGCTCAACTCATTGTTTTTCATTTTCAGGACACCCATTCAATACAATTGATGCATACTAAAGTACTGCAGCAAATATGATATAAAAAAATGATTTAAAGTAGCATTTTTGAATTGAAATTTAAATATCACATAGAACCTAATACTTTTGAGACGGAAGCTGAAATATTATTAATGTGTTCGTGTTATTTCATTAATCATAAAAACTTGCACCCACTGCCACATAATATGAACTGTGTTGGAAAAAGGTTGATATATTTATATCCTTTTTTCAGATTGGTTTTGATGGTTAAACGCATGATATTTCTTTTTTAGGCTTTAATCTGTTCTGCTTCTTTATAACCGTGAATGAAATTTCATTGATTTCATTTATTTTGCTTACAATCACAGATAGTATAACGCTTTTAAATACGTATCACATAATATTATTAAATTCAAAAGAATCAATTATAATATAATTATATGATTCACTGACAGAATGCTTTTTTTGTTACGTTTAATTATAGAAAACAATTGTCTTTTGGCATTGTTTCTGCTATTAGCTTGAGTACTATATTCTTGTTCTGGCTTGCTTTTTAATTTTCGACTTACACTTTTATTTCTGACCTTGATTATTTGTTGAAACAGTTGTACGTATCGGACATTTAATTCTTTATGAGTGTTCACGATTGTTAGCTAGACTTCAAACTTGATCATAATAATTTTCAAAGATAGCAATGCAATTTAAATTAACCAGACAGAACTTCACCTTCACTCATAAATGCCCTCGACTTTGAAGGTCAAATTATTGAAATTTTCATTTTTCTGACTGTAACTGGTTGTAGATTTGCTATTATTGGTAGTATTGAATGGATTAACTTTATATTATAACAGAACATTCTTAAGGACAAGACCTTCGTGTATATCAAACTCAAAATGACCTAAGCTCTTTTATGACATTGACATTGAAGGTTTAATTATTGAATTTTCTCGGATTTGTGCATTAATTGCTTTATGTAATAATAATTGAAGAGGAATATTAACCGGTTTCTCCCGTTAAAGGAATCTTCAAGATAATGACGTTAATAACGTCGCAATTCAGCGTAAAGGGACGTTACTCTTATAATAATTAAAAGGGACATAATAATAAATTTCAATAATATTATAGTAATATATATAAATATCACATAATATTATTAAATTCAAAAGAATAAATTATGATATATATGATTCACTGACAGAAAGCTCTCTTCGTTTAGTGTAATTATAGAAAGCAATTGTCTTTTGGCATTGTACTTTTATATATAAATAAATATATATGTATATATCAAAGTTTTTATTAATTTGATTCTGGCATTTTATAGATTGGCATTTAACTATGGAAAAATATCTCTGGCGCAAATGGCAATGTGTCGACCGACTAATGCATTATCTCGAACTTAAAGTAAAATTCTCAGGATCATGCGACGTACAAAATGTAACTTATGCATTGAAATGTAATGGTTGTTCCAAAGATTATATCAAAGAAACTCCAAATTAAAAAATCTCCAAGTGTAACCTTGACTTTTGAGTTACGGTTCCGGGTGTATCGCATGACACGTCGTCTTGATATTGTTAACATATGTGCCAAGCGATTTAAAAATCTCTTGATACGCAATGATGGAACAGTTATGGACCGGACAAACACGATACCATTAAACAGACAATGTCAAAATTTGACCTCCAAAAGTGACCTTGATCGTTAAGGTAAGGTTCTAGGTGTTGCGCATAACACGGCTCATATATCTTAAACTTTGTGTGAAATAATTCAAAAATCCCGTGTCCTATGAAAACAATATGGTCGTGAAACGACATATACGTTATAACAGACCATGTTAAGCCTTGACATGTAAGTGTGGCTTTGAAGGAAAGGGTTTGGGTGTTGCGCATGACACATCATCTTATTTTTGTGAACATTTGTGCCGAGTAATTAGTTTTAAAATCCCTTGATATATGGAAAAGATATTTCTGGACACATTTTATACCCTAAAGAAGTCGATGTTTAAGAAATAATATATCCTAAACTGTGACTTTAATGCTCAATAGAATCACTGTCTGGAGTTCGGATGAGGCTTTTATATATACATATACAAATTTCGTATGAATTAAGCATTTTGAAATTACAAAATACGAAAAGGAAGTAAACATTTATCTGTTTTAAAAAGGTTAACACTAAACCAATCAGTGTGTTTATTATCGCAAATGTATATGATAACATTCTTAAATAAACGTAACACTAAAATACTATTGTTGATATAATTGTATTCATATTGAACTTTGAAATTACATGATAACATAACAATCACGTACAATGCGATATAAAAAGATAGTTTTCACATGACTGTATCATGTGTATGAATATATCAACATTGTCAAGCTAACTTTTTAAGTGTCATTGCTTAATTTCAAACATAGGAAAAAAGGTAAAATTGTTTTTGTAATAATCATTCATAGTCATTTGGAAGCGTTATTTTTTTAATATTTAACAAAGGAAGATTTTTTTAAATCTAGTGATAAACATGCATTGTCACATAATACATGTTTATATAGTATACATTCATATTATTACACTCAAAACATTTTACTTTTTTAATGATTTAAAATTAATTAACAAGCCCGACAAAGGATCTCACAGTTTTTGCCAGCAAACAGTTATTTATTTACAGTTTCAACATTGAAAATGAAAGGAGACACACAGATCTTCTGCAGTATAATTTGCATCTTTATTGCCATTGCATGCAGCATTGTAAGTATCGCAATTCCTTACTGGATATCGGACAATGTCACAGTAGACAATGTGCAAATATACTCGTATGCCGGTCTTTGGAAAGGATGCGACGACGCTCTTGATGTTACAAAGTGCATAGTGTTTAAAGACGGTAAGGCCTATCAGATTACAATAGCAAGCGGCATTATAATAGCCACTTAATAAAATATTTTAACTATGTAGCAATTATTTCATGCATTTTCTATTTGCCCTTAAGGAAACAAAAACATCAGTTTTCACATAGGTATTTTGAAAGATAAAAAAGATTTAATAATAATAATAATAATAATAATAATAATTACTACATGAACAAAATATATAGCTATATACATTTAATCACATGCTTATGAAAGCCTAAAAGCAAGTTAATGTAAAATACTCATTATGGTCTTCTGGATGATTTAATGTTCTTATTTTGAGTATGTGCATAAAAATATAATGCTAATTCTAGTATAGCCTCATTATTCAATGTATTGAACTAATTTCATAAAGTGATTTTATGCCAGCCAGATACTTGGAAAATAAAATTAGACTAAATTTAGTATTGAACCCATTTTTATTCATTATCCTCCAATACGGAATGATGGTATTATGCTTAATATAGCTATGTTGTGTTATATAATTTTATAAAACTTCTCGTAAAGTTAATGAGTAATGTAAAAAAGAAAATCATTTATCTTAATAACCTTACGTTATTGTTTCTGCAAGCAACTTGACTGCGTAAAATGATAGTTCTTTGAAGGAACACCTTTCCTTTCTTTCTATAAGCAGTTTTAGTAAAAATTTCAGTTAAAGACTTTGTGAATGCTACGCGAGGTCTTATGATAGTTGGAACTGTGATGTTTGGATTCAGTGTCTTGCTTGCCATACAATACGCAAGAAATCGAAATACAACATGTTTGGCAAATATGTGCATAGTGAATTTGCTGTCCGGAGGTAAAGACAAGTTTGTATTCAATGAATCTGAATGATGCCATTTAAAAAGACAAGTACTTTGTTTCTTGTTTTTTTTTTAAATATTACTTCCGTTTACTGAATATGCTTGCTTCATTTTAAATTTTAAAATTGTTTTGTACCACAGGGTTAAAAATGTGGAGTCCAACCGGGACTCGAACCCGAAACCCTTTTGAATAACGTTCGTGGCTACACATCTTCACTATTAAATAGTGAACAATTCTTAACCGTGAAATAATTTCCCGCTGTAGTGTAGTGTAGTGGCTTATTAAACTTTGCACAATATATGCAGTCACGGACCCTAGTTGGGCGCCAAATGCCACAGACCGAGAAAATATATAGCATGAACGGGACTCGCACCTGGATGCTATCCGTCCGGCCACTAAAGCATCTGCTCCCCTAATTAGTGAAGATTTCTACACCGACAATGTATTTAAAGATTTTTTTAATTTGTCTCCATATAATTGTGCTTTATTAGACAAAAATTAAACAATTGTTAAAGGTTTTCTGGCCATTTTATAAGTATTTTATTGGCGACATCTATTTTTTTAGCGAGCAATACGGATTGTAGTTGAACAATATGTATCTGAAAACATGTTTACTATGTGAATACTATTCTAATATGATTATCAAATCTTATGATTACCAATGTCACCAAGTTAAAATTTTGCCATTTCATGTTAAATGTTGAATAATGATTCAACCGGTGCTTGGGATCATGGACGGTAGCTTGCAACTCACAATACCGTACAGTACCGATTGAATGAGCACAATCAAACCGAGTCTGCATATTTTCATTTTAAAACTTCATGTTCCTTGTGTTCTTTAAGGATTCGTTTTTATATTTCAGTTATTTTACTTATAACAGCAATGATTGTGTTTGGAAAAAATACTTCAGATTCTGCTCTGTCATATGGGTCAGGATTTTATCTACCAATAGCTTCCTGTGCTGCTGCTGTTTATGCTGCAATTGATGTCGCCAGGGCAAAGACAAAGTATCAGGAATATACTGCAATAGGTTCTGAATCTGAAAGAACAAATATTTAAATGATTACACTCTCGTGACAAATGGACATATGTTGTCTTTTATTATATACAATATATAAAACATTATAGAATTGTCAAGTAACCTTAGACCTTATTCAGTTATTTCCTATTAGCTTAACATGAAGTCTAAGTGTTATCTTACTGATTCTTCGATGAAATAAATAATTTTCCCGTTTTTATATAATTTTCAACGTAAGTGTTTAAAGTGACATTATGCCTTTTCTATTGTAAGTGTAAGAGAGAGTCAAAATAACTTGTTGCAATGCGTTCATTGAAATTCTCCTTTATTTCATTATGTTAAGATCAAATTTGATATGTTCGTGTTTAAATTCAAAGCTCGTTAATACTGTTGGCAAACGTAGAGTGATAACCTAATAAGTAAAGGTCGTTCAAATTACTTTGACTTTGACTTTGATGGCAGCAATAATACCACAGTGCACTGGTTAACTGACGGGCACAGTTATCAGTACCATCATTGTTATCCCTGTCCTTAGTCGTGTAGATACATCCATCATGACGAGAAAAGCTATCACGACACTTTCCGAAGAAACCACTAACATGCCGCCATTTTTCACATCGTACCATGTCTGTATGCTAAGTCCTCTGTATCTAACAATTCTTCTTCATATCCGCTTTTAAAAAGCGACAGACAGTCATTTTGTTCTGGAAGTGCGATAAAAGTATCAAATTTAAACAGACTGAAAGCGTCTTCTTCACAATATTATTGTTGCTGCGTGATAGGTGCAGATTCGTTCTTAAAGCCCTTCTAATTCATATGCTTTATAAAATCGAATTATTAGAATGTAACAGTTAAGTAAACGTGTTTTATGAGCTTTTTTAACAAAATTACACAAACTAAAGATATTCTATAATAAATAAATAGACACCCTACTAATGTTAACATTAAAAAGCATTCAGTTGACAAAACCAATATCATCCCTCCTGCACACATTGTGTTAAAATGTTATTATAAAATAACTAATGACTAATATATGTAATAATAATAAAATGTCATTAACACATTATGGTTTACGATTGAAGTACAGAAAAAGCATAAACGGACCGAAACGAGCCAGACGGTTCATTTTTCTAGTAGGGGGACCCGGAACAGTTTTCGATTAGGATAAAGAAATTCTAAAATGTTTGAATTGTTAACGTTTTATTTTATTAAATAATACCAAACTAGCAAATAGCAAATGATACATAATGTCCTATCTATCAAATTATTATAATTATCATTTTTGCCTTTTTATTAAATAAGACGTAGATTAATCTTATGTCGGAATTTCTATTTTGACTTACAAACGTTAATTCTTCCATTTATATAAATATTCGAGCACTTTGTTTCTGTATGTGTTATTTAGAATGGTTACTTTTATGTGATGTCCAATACCCTTCATTCGTTAAATTGAGAATTTATAATTATTATAGATATAATTAGTATTTAACTATTCCAAAACTTATTCATAGTACTAGCATAGTATAATAAATGTTTTCCCAAACTTAGATTTAATGTTTAAATGCATACATTTAACAAATAGTAGGGTTGAACATTTTAGGTAAATTTGTGATGTCTGTAACATTTATAATGTTTAAAGAAAAAATGAATATTTGATTATTTGATCCCCTAAGCAAAGTTAATTTAAGTACTGCACTTTATTCCAGAATTATTGACTGAATGACACATTTTTTTCAATGGCGATTGTTGATAGATCACGATTATTTGCTCAAACATTCTATCAGCTGAAATGAATCATACACAGGAAAACGGCTGCAAAATATAAAACAATCATCGTCAGTTTAAGTACACAATTTTGAAACACTTTATACAAAAATGTGGAATATCTAATATAATCGGCATGTTCGCCGTGATGTTTTGTATCGTATCACTTTTTTGTTAGTGGTTAAATAATGTTTAGAAGTTTTTGTGTTTTCTTTCCAGTATGGTATCTTAATGCTTCTGTTAAAATCTTAGTACCAAATCGTTTTTGCCGTCGTATTGCTATTACGAAAAATATCTTTTAACCTTCACGGCGAATCGAATAATCATGACCCAACAAGACTTCAAAACCGAGTTTGCAATTTCATTAAAATTTTGTTGTGTTTAATGCTTCCGAGGGATCAATTTGTTTCCAGTTTTTTGTGTCTAGTTAATACTTTAAGCGAACGTAGAATGTTTCCCCGATAAGTAAAAAACCATTTAAATTGCTTTGATTACAAGCTTTATACTACCGTACTCATACAACCCGTTGAGAACTGTTGTCGGACCATGCGTCGTTATACCTGGCTTTAGTCGAAAACATGCCACCATCATGTTAATGAAGATTATTACGAAAAGTTCCGGAGAAGCCTTTCACATGTAATCTAAATTTGGAGCTTTGTCGTCAACTTTAAACATGGAATAGTGAGCAGTAGCACTTGAACGTGACATAAATTCAAATGCTTCCATTTCAATTTCGAAAGAAATGTCAACAGTAGTTAGCCAATATATATTCTCAAGGCCAATCCAATACTCAACCATAAACATAATCCGTCCATGTGCTGTAAAGTTATCTGATCAATCTAGTCGACGTTGTATAACTGTCTATCCACAATGTTTCATATCCCACCATGTCAGTATGTTAACCCCTCTTGTATGTTAACCATCTTCTTTAGATCCTTTTTCAGAAAGTGAAAGACAATCACTTTGTTCTTAAAATGCGAATTAAACATCAAATTTAAAATCAGGCTCGAAGCATTTTCTTACATGTGATGAATAAAACATTGTAAGCGCATAATCGCTTGATAGGCGCAGATTCTTCTTTTAAGGTCTTCTCCTTTATGCTTATATGGAATTGAATAATGCAATGTTACATTGAAGGGTTTTCTGAGTTTTCAAAAAGTCATTTACACATTTTTATCATTTAATATATAGTTTAAAAATCATTAATTACCCAAGTTATATTAAGGGTTTGTTATTATCGTAATGATTATTATACTATTCTAAAAGTTATTTAACTCACACATAATAATACAAATATTACAGTATGATCATGTAATTTTATTCTCTTTTGTTTTCTGCTTCCGAGAAAACTCTTCTTTGGAAGTTGTTAAGTTTGGAATGTATACACTATGATTAACTTACCAATAAAAGGGCGATGTGCAAGCATTGACCCAGGCTCCTCTTTATAAGCAAACTTTCCAGACACAGAATACATATCTCACAGTCAGATGAAATCTTCTTCTGTATACAACAGCATTAATGTAAGTAATATTATTTTGGAAATAATTTCACAGTTACTGTATATAAAGTAATTGAACCCCAACCGGATCTTGTGAGAAGATGTCAGTGTCAGCCATTTTCTGACGCCTGAATTATTTAATATATTGGTATTTATATTGATACTTATGGACGTTAGGTAAGTTTATCTTTATTTATATCGTAGAAGAGAAACTTTATTAAACGTTTCAGTTATGCAAAATATAAATATAAGCATTAAAGCTATAAAATAATCGAAACTCACGAACTGCTTTCAGGTGATCAACACTGAACAAGAACAAACATCCGTCTTATTTCAAGGTTTATTAAGTTAAAAATTGAATTGTGATATCGAACTACTAAAATAATCAATAACAAACGATAATTTAGTCACCTGCAAAAATATTGCTTTATTTTGAACATTAGATTAAGAGTTTAACCAAGGAGGTTGATTCCGTGATCTGAACGTTACTTGCTGGTGATTGTGAACCCTACTTGTGAGTTTACGAATTTTATCTGTACCCTGACTTGTGAACATTTTTAAAGATTTAATGTAGAGAACGTTTATCATTTCACGTATTTATTTGTTAATTGACAGGCAAAATGGAAGAATTCAGTTGTCTTCATTGCCCCTTTTCTCTTCAAAAGAAAACTCGGAAACACTTCTGTTCACAATTTTGATAGAAGAACAAAAGCTTAAAGTAACAATTTCTCAGTTTGACAACAATAACAGAAACATTAAAATCATACTCCAAAGACTTTACAATTATTTAAAAAAAACTGAAAAAATAAAAAAGAGACTTTAAAAAAAATTGATGTTACAAAAACAGTAAAAGTTTCAAGACGAGAAGGACTTAAAAAATAATATCCAATCAAGAAATGTCAAAAAATCAAAACGCCTGTTAAAAAGGTTCAAACATTGACAAAAGATACGTTTTTAGTATAGATGACGAAGAGTTTTAATTTAAAATTGGTGACAACTTATTCCACAGATCCCACATTTAAGTTGTGTTTTCAGGGGAATGTTTGTTACACAAAAGCTTCTGTCAAGACCCTCAACTACAAATGATTCATCCAAATCCATCTGAAATACATGTATATTGCAATTTATAGTTATATATATTTTTTGACTTAAAATCACTTATTATGATAGCCAATGATAAAATATTCAAGTTGTGTTAAAAGAAAACTAACAGGTTGTCTTAGACACTGGAAAGACTTAAACTATTTCAAAATAAATGGAAATAAACTTGAAAGAGTGAAAACCACCTTTTATATTTAACAACAATATGCAGGAAACTCATTAAAATAATTTATCAAGAGTGATCCTAGTCGTGCATGTCAGGAAAAGAAAGTCAAGGCATTTATAAGAATAGAAAACTGTGTTTCAAAAAGCATACTGAAATCAAAGGTAGGTGTAAAGCTTTCAACATGTTGAAATAAGTAATCTGGCAAAAAATCCTGTGATGATCTTTTGAGGAGGATGGATTGATATGTGATTTTATAAAACAGTCACGACGTCTAAACTAACAACCATGCCGTTGAACTTTATAGTAGAAACGTTTATTATAGTACTTACGTTAGGGTAACTAGTAATCGACGCTGGAAAACCTTTTACTCTGTCTCAATTCAATGAGAAGTTGCAGCACTTTGAAATCAGATTTGCTGAAAAAAACACAATGCAAAATAGTGATTTTTGGCACTTTTGAGACGTCCCCTCGTTGCCATGGTAACAGAAAATTTACAATTGAGCATGTTGTTACAGAGGCTATGGTCTAGTAAACATTTGTGCCAAGTTCAATCAGTATTGAAACATTTTTCATAGTTGCATAGCAGTTTGAACTTGTAACAGGAGGGTTTTCAATGAAAACGGCCATTTTTAACAATATGCTCATGGGGTAAAAGGTTAATTTAAAAATTAAAAAAGGTAAACAAACATGATTTTTTTACCAAAATTAGGTGTTAACTTAGAAAAACTAGATTTTGGGTAATTCCAAGGTTTTTCATCATTTTTTGCTTTAGCTCGTAAGCTATTTATATTCTATTTAAATTTAATGATACACATTCTGGATTAGAAGAGTCTTCATTAGATCATAAGAGTAATGAAGTTAGCGATATAAATAGTATACGACGTCGTATGAACTAGGAACAATTTTGCAAGATTGTTGAGGATGTAATTTAAAATATCTCTCGCTGAAGATTGCATGACAAAGCTCATACCTCTCTGTTCCGGATTTAGGGACACTTGCAAACTTTCAGGAATTTTTGGTGCCAATGGTTATAATATTAACAGTTTTGACATCTAGGGACGCCAAGAGTCTATTTTGTGGTCTGCTGCTGATTTTGAGACACTTGCA